GCAGGGTATTTGACTGTAATTAGGTCTGCTTGATTAACTATCCCTTAAAAACTTATGAACTACGTAAGAGAAATGAGAACATGTGCAGGAACTGTACAAATCCTCTCTCAGGTTCCTAAGCCTGTTCTCTCCTGTAGAGAGTCACACTCATAAGGTGGTAATCTGCTCTCCCACTCAGTACACAATGGGAACTTTGCCATAGCTGAGGAAGAATAGGATTTTTCCTCCTCTGCTATGAGTGACAGGGAGTGATTTTGGGGGCCTAATTCATATTGTAGTGCCAAGTAGAAGTAGTTAACAGTGGGAACTGAATCCTCAGCCTGTTGTGACAGGACAATCCCTTGTCAAGCGCATGTCAGCCATCCCACCCAGTAAGCAGTGTGAATTTAGCTGATTCCCATAGCTTCTCTGAGTGGTGGGGGTGATCTTTTCAGCCTAATTCATACTGTAGTGCCAAGTAGGAGTAATTAACAGGGGAACTGCATCATTGGGTTCATGGGTCGCTTGGCAGGTGGGTCATGGATGGGAAGTGGTGGACACCAATGGTAAGAACCCTCAACTTCCACCACTGGGGACAGTAGTTTCTTAAAGGGTGCTGGCAGTCATTATGGAACACTAATTGCTCTGAGAAAGCAACAATTCTCAGAGTGGCTTAGCAGTCAATCCCCCTTCCCAGGAAACTCTGGAAAATGTAGCACTAAGATGCGAGTAAGGGTCTCCTGATGACTCTTAGCACCCTTAACAAACCATAGCCCACAGGATTCTTTGGGGGAAACAATGACTTTTTATAGCAGCATCAAACTGTTTTAAATATTCATGTAAGGGGAAAGGTAAAGGACTCCCGGACAGTTGAATGCAATCAAAGGTGACTATGGGGTTGCAACGCTCATCTCACTTTCAGGCCAAGGGAGCCAGTATTTGCCCACAGACAGCTTTCTGGGTCATGTGACCAGCATGACTAAACTGCTTCTGGCACAATGGAACACTGATGGAAGCCAGAGCACATGGAAACACTGTTTACCTTCCCGCCGCAGCGGTACCTGTTTATCTACTTGCACTGGTGTGATTTCAAACTGTTAGGTTGGCAGGAGCTGGGACAGAGCAGCAGGAGATCATCCCATTGTGGGGATTCGAACTGCCAATCTTCTGAGACCAAGAGGCTCAGTGGTTTAGACCACAGCGCCACCCTCATTCCTTTTGGATGTGGCCCAATTCACACAGCACAGCAGGGGAGGCCGGTCACTGTGTGTCAGAGACTGGCAGGATGCTGACAAGTGTTCACTGAGGGAAGGGGGGGTCTCACTTGAGAGAGGTCAGTCATTAGTGGGTTACAGTACCGGCCAGGAGGCATGAGCCAGAGGCAGGGGAAGCTTCAGAGCTGGAGGGTGGAGCGCAGGTTGGGTCAGAAGAAGAGGTAAGAAAGGCAGGTTAGGCCAGTGAAGGGCCATCCTCTTCTGCACTGTTGTCTTCCAGAAGCAGGAGGCAATGAAGAGGGATGAGCAGAGGAAGTTTCCACTCAGGCATAGTCTCTAGCTGTGTGTGTGCAACCTGTTGGGGCGAGGTGCATAAACAGGTGGAGGGGAAGTGCCCCCCCATTGCTGCACTTGTCTCACATTCCCCCATTGCGGTGCTGGACTTACTTTCAGGCCAAGGGAGCCAGTATTTGTCCACAGACAGCTTTCTGGGTCATGTAGCCAGCATGACTAAACTGCTTCTGGCACAATGGAACATCATGGCGGAAGCCACATCACACAGAAAAATTGTTTACCTTCCCATTGCAGCACTACCTGTTTATCTACTTGCACTGGTGTGATTTCAAACTGCTAGGTTGGCAGGAGCTGGGACAGAGCATGACTAAACCGCTTCTGTTGGGACGAGGTGCATAAAGTGGTGGAGGGGAAGTGCCCCCCCATTGCTGCATCATAGAACATGGACTTGGGAACAGCTGCCTAGATTGGGAACTTAGCAGGACTCCCCTGCTGAGGGCCCCGTTCCTGCCTCTCTCCACCTGGCCCAGGGCGGCACCTGACAGGCCTCATAAGGACTGCTTCTGCTGCTACTGCCTAGGAGGTCTCCCCTGCTGAGAGCCAGCCACTCCACTGGTGCTTCCAGAGAAAGATGCAGGTAGAAGCTGCAGATCCATTTCAACATATTTATTCTGCTCCCCCCCTCTGCTTCCCTTGATGCCTCATCTTTTAAAACATTATGATGTGCCCAGGCACACCCAGTACACACCCTGCACATAAGCATCAGGCTGGCCACTGTGAGAACAGGGTGCTGAACTAGATGGGTCTGTGGCCTGATTCAGCAGGACTCTTAATATCCTTATTTGACAAACCAAAGACTGTCATTGGGGCTTGGTGATTTTGCGTGTGTGAAAAAATTTATTGCAGAGACTGTATCCCCCCCCCTTCTTCTTCTTCCTAGTTGTTTAAACCAATTCATCAACCAATAATTTATACATTGATCACTAAGAATGATGTAGATATTCTCCTCCTTTAAATTCCTGGGAGTTTAGCTTAGTGAGGACCTAACTTGGAAAATAAACATAACTCAGGTGGTCAGAAAGGCCCATCAGAGACTCCATTTCCTCAGGGTCTTGCGAAAGAATAATGTTAAATCGTGTCTTCCAGTGAGACCTGGAGACCGACCACCTGTGTTGTGGGTTGGTAAGACTGGTCAGCCACGACACCCGATTGTGTGCTTGTGGCGATCCAAAAACATCCTCTTGAGGACTGAGCATGCTGAGGGCGCCACTACTGAGAAGGCCCTCTGCCTAGTTCCCTGTAACTTGGCTTCTCACAGTGAAGGAACCGTCAGAAGGCCCTCAGCGCTGGACCTTGCTGTCTGGGTAGAACGAAGGGGGTGGAGACGCTCCTTCAGATTTGCTGGACCGAGGCCGTTTAGGGCTTTAAAGGTCAGCACCAACACTTTGAATTGTGCTCAGAAATGTACTGGGAGCCAGTGTAAGTCTTTCAAGACTGGTGTTATGTGGTCTCGGCAGCCTCTCCCAGTCACCAGTCTAGTTGCCTCATTCTGGATTAGTTGTAGTTTCCAGGTATCCTTCAAAGGTAGCCCCACATAGAGCACATTGCAGTAGTCCAAGCGAGAAATAACCAGAGCATGCACCACTCTGGCGAGACAGTCCGTGGGCAGGTCTCAGCCTGCGTACCAGATGGAGCTGATAAACAGATGCCCTGTATCATATATGCTGATGTTGCATGGGGTTGTATAAGTATGTTTTAATGCTTAGCCTTCTGGGAGCTTTCACTCAGTGCCAGTTATGTTAGCACATTCTTCCAGGTGTTGGGGTGGTGGTGATCAGTTTTGCACAGACGTGCACAATATGGTCATCAATGATACATATTTAAGAAGAAGTGGCTTAACAGCCATTTGGTCCCATGGGACTGTCAAAATCTCAACTTCTTTGATCAGTCGGATGACCACCCTCCAAATTCATATATAGAGTGGGTATGAGACATATTTAATCTAACTTAAGAAAAGGAAAGAAACATTTATCTTAGAAGGTCGATGAGCAGATGGTGTATACAAAATGCAGTAGGAAAACTGCTATATAATGGCTTATCACTGGTGGAGGAAGAGGAGTGCGGGGGGAGCGCACCGCCCCGGCAGCACGAACCCAGTGGGGTGCCATCGCGGCTGCCCCCCTCCCGCCCACGCTGGGTGCCCCGCCCCGCCTGTTCTCTGCTCCCCCCCCCCCGGTGCCAGAGCATGAAGCTCCGCCACTGCGGCTTATATGCAATATTTGTTCCCCAAATTCCCCACTACAGTATATAAAGAGCCAAGAAAGGATTACAGATGAAATTGTTTTGGCAACATTTCACAACCTGTTTTCTGGACACAGGGGGGCAGGGGCACCAAGCAACTGTTTGATGGACTCCTAGCATCTCACCTTGTATATTATAGGCTATTGAGCTACGGTCACCATATTTTGAAGAGCAAAAAAAGAGGATGCTATGACGGCATTTCAAAGCAAATAAATGCAATTTGCCTGGAAAAAGAGGACAATGGCAACCCTAATTTAGCTCATGCCCTAGTCACCCCATCTATTGCTAAGAAACAAGTGTGGCCTTTTTGTGTTGATTTTCTCTGGTGTGTGGTATGCAGCTTTGGCTGAGTGGGCATATATAAAACTTTTCATTGTTATTTTTGGAAAACAATGCTGCTTTCACACCAAGGAAGTTGACCACACTATCCAAAGGGTGGTCCTGCCTCTTTCACGAGCTCTACACATCTCCTGGATTTCCTTCTGTCTACTAGTTCATCCACCTATTCCTATAATTACTGTTTATGTGCACTTCCTGCTTGGGCTCCCTTGCATTGCTTCCATTCCAAGTTAAATATTCCTCCCAGTTTAATATTCCTCCCAGTTTCCCCCTGTATTGGCACCCTCAGATCTCACACTCTTTGTTACTTACTGCACTGGAGAACATCTGGGCAGAATGGATTGAATGTTCCTTCTGTCATTTTATCTCAATGAGCAACAGGCATCCTTCATTTATCCAAACTTTTCCTATTTTATCAGTGCTCTGGAACAATGATCCTAACCCGTGCTATTTTTCTAGAAAAAGAGGTGCTGGAACTCACCATGAACACCTCCCTCATTCTCTTAGAATGGCAATGGCACCCATCTGTGACGTGCTGGAACTGAGTTCTAGCGAGTTCCAGCTGGGGGGGAAAGCCCTAATCCTAACGCTAGTGACATGTGTGTCATGTGAGTGGATCTTGTTTCAGCAATAATGAATTTTATGATTCCTTAGTTGGAATGTTAAAAAAACAAGCAAACCATGTGTTTGTAATTTTCTTTTATTTTTGCAAAGTTGGTGCCATCCCCCAGGTGGGTAGTGGGGCAGTTTTTAGTGCCCTCAACCATCTATTACAAAGGCAGTAAAATCAGCTGCAGAATTTACTTGTATGATTAGTGATTGTCTGGTTTCACTTGATTGGATTTGGAGTGGCAACGTGGAACATGAAGGAGCAAGAAGTCTTCATCAATCTGGTCCAGGAGTGTAGGTATGTTCAGTCCATAGTACAACTGGAAATAAGAAAGCAAGTGTCATGGACTGGTTAGACATGGAGGGATGCTAGGAGGAACCGGCTGGAGAACCACAAAGGGAAAAATGATCAGAGCCCAGAGAGTGGTGATGGGACAATGGTTTATGGTCAGAGGGAGACAACTGCAAAGACTGCGAAGAAGAGGTGTCAGTAGCTGAATGGGTAATAGGGCAGAGTGAGTTTGGAGGGTTTGTGGCAGAGGACAGTCCAGAATCAGAGGCAGAAACTGAAGCAAGAGGGTGAGAGGAGAGAGGCCAAGAGGCAGAGATGAGTCTGCTGCAACAAGCTCCCCACACTGCTCATCTCTCAGAAACAAAAGAGGCATGAAGAGGGAGGAGCAAAGACAAACACACAGGCACAGTCTCAGATTGCTTGGGGAAAACCCTGGAGAGGAAGGGTCTTAAGCAGCTGCGAGGAGTTGGGGCCTTTAGTCTCGACAACTGCTTCATGGGGGGCAAACCTACCAGAAATGAGTTGTTGTGCTCATTAGGCCTATAAGATGTAACTGACTGTACGTTTGAAAAAATAATATATACTATTCATTGTATTGAATTGTAGATTTCAACAGAAGTAACTCAAAGTTAAATGAAAAAAGTAGAAGACCCAGTGGATCAGTTCATTCTCTATGCATAAGGTCCATATACGTGAAAGTGTCTATTCTACCTGTCTGTTCACAAAGTCCAACAATCCACACGAAAGGTTGTTGCAGTTCCACAGAATCCTTTCACAGAGTCTAAGACAAGGATTTCCAGAATATTAGCCTTGTTTCACCATCTTAGGCTTCATCAGTAGTACAAACTCATATATGATATCACAGGACAGTGGATCTCATAGCATAGTAGTAGATGCTGGACTTTATGAACAGACAGGTGGAATAGACACTTTCACATATATGGACCTTATGCATAAACTGATTGAGAATGAACTGATCCATTGGGTCTTCTACTTTTTTCGTTGAACTTTGAGTTACTTCTGTTGAAATCTACAATTCAAAACAATGAATAGCATATATTATTTGTTCAAACGTACAGCTGGTTATGTCTTGTGTGTTTATTGAATATGTTTCACGTAACCAGAGGTTTGTTGTTGTTTTGTGCTCATTAGGCCTGGCATTCTGCCTTTTCTGTGCAGATCATGTTTTTGCTAACTCCAACTTGCACAGTGTGATTTACTGTTGTCTCACTTCTGACAGCAAATAACAGAAATTAACCCCAAACATTCCCCAAGAACTAGTGATGAAAATCTTACTCAGTGGGGCATGGAGGGGGAAACTGCCAATGTTCCTGAACCCCAATCACCATCAGTCCTAGCTAGCAAGGTCAAAGACAATGGGAGTTACCATCCAAAAATATCTGGAGGGCAACAGGTTCCCAACCCTGACACAGAGGCTAGTTCATTATCTGCAGGCCTTTGGTAGGATTGAGGTGAAGTTAAGCACATTTGGGCCTCACTTTCTACAAGAAACATGCTGTAGCATGTTCACATTTACCTGGGAGCAAGCCATATTGAACACAGTGGGACTTCCTCCCAAGTAAACATGTGCAGGATTGCCAACTTCCTCTAATTCAAGCATTGTGGACTTGAGACCCTCCAGAGGTTGTGCTTCTCCCACTCTCATCAGCCTCAGCCAACATGGCCAAGGGTCAAGGATGATCAGAAATGCAATACAACAACATCTGGTGGGACAGAGGATTCCCATCCCTGCTGTAATAGTGTAGGCCTTTTGGGGTCCATGGCTCCCTTGTCCAACTACATTCTTTCAGGGTGTTGGACTAGATGATCATTGTGGTCCCTTCCTACTCAACTATTCTATGATTCTATTCAGGACGCGGGTGGCGCTGTGGTCTAAACCACAGAGCCTAGGGCTTGCCAATCAGAAGGTCAGCGGTTCGAATCCCTGCGACGGGGTGAGCTCCCGTTGTTTGGTCCCAGCTCCTGCCCACCTAGCAGTTCAAAAGCATGTCAAAGTGCAAGTAGTTTAATAGGTACCACTCCAGCGGGAAGGTAAATGGCTTTTCCGTGCACTGCTCTGGGTCGCCAGAAGCAGCTTATTCATGCTGGCCACGTGACCCGGAAGCTGTCTGCGGACAAATGCTGGCTCCCTCGGCCAGTAAAGCAAGATGAGCGCCACAACCCCAGAGTCATCCATGACTAGACCTAACGTCAGGGGTACCTTTACCTTTTATGATTCTATTCAGTACTTTTTTTCAAGAATAATAGGTGCCAGAACTCACCACAAAATTGTTACAGTAAGTCACTGAGCAACTTGAGGCAACCCTGAACAGATGCTGGTTTGACAACAGCCACGTTCACCACCTGTGGAGGTACTAAAAACTATGGCAAGCTGTCTCCACATGTGGTTTGGGGGTCACTCCTGGTTATGGTACAGGTGAGATAAATGCGCCCCCCAGCTCCCTGGTTCTCTAAGGTTTGGGCGGATGGCTTGGGCAGCTAGGAAGGGCCTCGCGCAAATGTGTGCACATGCAGTAGTAGAGGTCTGGCTGGAAAGTGTAAAGCTCGCTGCTTCTACAGAAGAGACAGATTTTTTAAAAAAGAAATACAAATTCGTCCCTCCCCACAGCTTGACCAATTGTGGCTGGGAGCAGCTAGCAGGTAGGTCGAGTTATAGATCTTAAAATTTTGTAGACTCACACACGCTGGTCAGCTTCCATTCTGACTTGAAATGTTTGTTTTGGGTTCCTCAGAAGTATGTAAAAGCAAAAAATGGACAGGGGGAGTGCCGATTCACAATGGCTCCCACCTGATAGGTGCCAGAACCATGGTCCGGCATGCTCCAGCTGAATAATAACACTGATTTTATTAATTATTATTGATTCAATTTGCATACTGCCCTTCATTTGTAGATCTCAGGGCAGTTCACAACAGAATAACACAGGTAAACCATATATAGATTATGTACATATAAATACTTACAGGTCTTTACTGTTCAGGCGGATTATGGTTGGAAAAGAAGCAAAGGACACAAGTTATTTCTCTGTCTCCTTAGTGCACTAAGTAAGTCACTACAGGTCACTAAATGACTAGAAAACAAGAATTTCATTGAAAGGAAAGAGAGGCTCTCCAGATGAATGCATTATGGGATGCGGAACAGTCTGTTTAAGGCCCTAATCATTTTTTGAACCAGAATTCCTTTTCCCAGACATGCCCTCCCTTCTTTTTGGTACCATTCTTAAAAGCTGTTCACTTGATCCGTCAACTGCTCTGTCTGAATGCATTAACTACCGTACATCCTTTAATACATCCTTAAATGGGTTAATCTTCTATGAGATTTACTACATGCTTCTAGGAGCTGATCTTATATGAGAATGTTTTATGTCATAAGATGAAATGCAGACTTATAAGCCTATGGGATCTGCAGGTCTTTCGTGATTGATTGCCAGTTTTCTTTGGTTAGCTCATAGTTTTGCAGTTTTAAGGCCATAGGAATGGGAATGACTAAGCTTTGACAGAAGTCCCATGCCAGTTCTGGAAAAGGGCAGCTTGCCAATGCTTTGGTGTACCTTGAAATGGTTTGGGAGGATGCCATTGGCTGACCTCAAAAACAGTGGCAGACTTTGGGCTCCCAAATTTAAGCAGCACCATGTGTGACGCTAAAATCTGGCGGCATCCCTGTGTCTCATATTCCTTTCTACAGCATTGTTTTGGTGCCCCCTGCAGTGCAGCACCTAGTGCGACCTCACCCTCAAACCTTCTCTGAAGGCTCTTTGTGATGTTCCCAAGTGTGAAACAGAATAAATATCAGAGACAGGAGCACTGTTCCACAGAGAACTCAGCATAAGACCAGAAATTCAGACGTGTGCTTTTCCTCTGCTCTCATTTCTAAAGGGTTGTCCAAGAGAAGAGTTTTGCGCCAGAGCGCCGGTGGTGAAAAACTCATTCTGAACCAGTCCAAACACAGGTTAGAGTTCAACGTTGAGCCTATCAAATGACAACGGTGACGGTGAAGAGGACTTTCTTCACGCCTCTGTTGTGTCTGTGGACAACAGTACTGGGAGATTTCTTCAGGTGGTTTGTAATCTAACAGAGCCACCTTCGCCATTAGGGCCTGGGGATCACCCCAAGATCTCCTGCAGTGATTTAGCAAAGAGCATCCAAGGATGAGAAATAAGTCAGAGCTCTGGACGAATAAATCTGAAGAGTGAAAAATGCTTAATTTCAGGACGCTGCCAGTTGTGGTGGCCCTGCACTAATATGCATGTTGACATTGCAAATGATCAAATAAAAGCATATTCATTTTTTAAAATTAGAATTAAGATTGGCCATGTGTTCATTGGGGCAGTGTGTCTAGGATTAAAGTCTTATAGCAGGCATGTCCAATGGGTCATAGGAAAAAAAAAAAGGCTAAACAACTCTGGGGACTGTCCCCCAGATAAAAGAACAACAATTTTTTTAAACTAGTTATGCGATCCCCGAGCATACCAAGAACTAACTTAGTTGGTCTTTAAGGTGCTACTGGAAGGATTTTTTTTATTTTTGACTATGGCAGACCAACATGGCTACCTATCTGTAACTGGAACAATTTTTTTGGCACTGTCCCCTTTAAAAAGCTCAACAACTTTGGGCAAATACAATGGGTAGATCAATGCCAGTTTTTTTATTATATTGGGAGTAGATCATAGTCTCTTAGAAGTTGGACGTGAATGTCTTATAGCAATCAGAAAATCATATGAATACTTTCCAACAGTTTTAGGTGAAAAGAAGAAGAGGATATGAACAGACCAGTCGACAAATAGAAAGATACAATGACAGATTCCTGTATTGATTCTATCCCTGCTTCTGACAGAACACAGCCAACTGTAGGTGAATGAAATTTAGTGGACTATATCTCTGTGACCTTAAATCCTTGGTCTTTGACTGATGGGTCAAATCCCTACTGTAGGGATGAGGAATCAGTTGTGCTCCAGGTGGTGTTGGAGTACAACTCCCATTATCCCTGACCATTGACCATTCTGGTGGGACTGATGGGATTTGGAGTACAACAGCTTCTCTGGCATTGCGTATATTGCAAAGAAAATGAAAATGCAGAAACCAATGAAAAAGATCGTATACTTACAGGAGATCTCTTTTTTCGAAGTCCCTTCAGGTGAAAAAGCAAAGCAACATGACCAGTTAATGCAATGGCAAGCAGAGTACCACTGTGGTTGGTTTTTTCAGTCCACAAAGATACATAATTCCTGAGTCCCCTACCCACCCATTTAAATTGTGTTTTCTTTGCAGTAAAATGGAAGGAGTGGAAATAACTATAACACTGATTCCTGAAATCTGTTAAATAGTAGGCGGAGATACTAATAATGTAGCATTTTGCAGAGACCAAACTGCTGTGGAATAGAAACAGCACTCATTGTGATGAAGACATATCAAAATGGAAAGACCGTAGCTGCCTTTGTTCGTCCCTAGTTCATACCAGGGACCTTCTTGATTCAGAACTCAGCCCTCTAGCACCGGTGCCAACTATAGGGGGCCATGGGGGCCTGAGCAACCATAAAAATGTTGTGGGTGCTTGGCACCCACATTGCAGGGTCTCCAATGTGACTTCTGCTGCCTCAGGAAGCACCGGAAGTCACTTCAGAGGCCTTGAGGGGCCTCAGAGGTGAAGTCTGAAGCCTCACAAGGCTGTAGAAATTGTTCTGAGGCCTCGTGAGTCTGGTGCCTCCGGTGTAATGCAAAAGAAAGAAAGAAAGAAAGAAAGAGAAAAATTAATATAAAAAATACTGCAGGAAAGAATGATTTAGCCATTATTACCTGTGGAAAACCATGACCAGGAACTTCTGATTCAGAAATTTAAAATGCAAACAGAAAAAGCACATCTACTGGTGATGCATTGTGTGTGTGTGTGTGTGTGTGTGTTTCCACTGTTTAAATTTATTATCCACCCCTTGCCCTAAGGTCCCAAGCTGGGTTACAACAATTTAAAATTAAGTGATTGCTCAGTCAGAATAATTATTTCAATACACACAGGCAGATTAGCAGGAGAGCTCCCACCCCTGTAATGTAGAGTTCACAATTATATTTTGCTTTTATATAGTTCTGCTTCACGTGATAAAAAGATTCCAAAAATAAATGGGAACAATGGGAAATGGTTAGGAATACTCACTGGGAAAGGAGGAGAGGTAGGAAGTCCTCTTCCCTGAAATGAAGAAAGGCACAATTATATTTTGCTTTTCTATACTTTTACCTCACACAATAAATGGATTCACAGCATGAATGGACACCATGCAAGATGATTAAGAGCACACACTGGAAAAGGAGAAGGGGCAGGGAGGCCACCACCTCAAAATGGCAAAGTGTACCGGAATTTCTTTTTTGTATATTTTCTTGTCACGTAATAAACTAAAGGGACCCCCATATCCAGCATAGAGGGGTGAAGTTGCTCATGCAAAATCATTGGCAATACCCACTGGCAAAGTTGTAGGACAGTCTACTCCAATCTGAACTATGGACCTATTGGATTGCTTCTCATGAATTTTCTTCATTTCCTATATTTTTTATGAAGGTGAACAGTGCATCTGAACTTTCATCAAGAGGCAATGCATTTTTAGAAATAGTAGTTCTTGAAAAAGAGAGTAACATACAAAGATCATTAGCATGAGGAAATCTGAGGGAACCAAAATCTGAGGGAATCTGAGGGAACCAAGTCAAACAAAGGCTCCTTCTATACAGTAAGTAGATCTAACTGTATGACTTAGCTAGTGGATATTAGCTTGTGGAAGTTCATTTCCCACGCCGCCTATGAACTTGTCTTATAGTATACATTCTGATCACCAAGACAGATAACCCAGTACTGTTTGCAGCAGCTCTCTAAGTTTTGAGGCCCTGCTGCCTAAATTCCTGTCCCAGTCATTGTCCTATCATCCCCAATGAGCAAGGCCAATGGTCGGGATTATGGAAGTCAGAGTCCAACATAAGCAGTTCCAATGAGGAACCTGTTCTACGTCAGATGTTGTTGGACAATTCCCAGTAGCTGCAACCAGCATGGCTCATGCTCAGGGATAATGGGACTGAAAGCCCATCAACATCTGGAAGGCCACAAATTCCCCACTAATTGATGTTGCATTTGGAGACACACAAGCAAGCAAGCAAGCAAACAAACAAACAAACAAACACCCTGTTACTTTTCAGCAAAACTCATTTAATTCCACCAGAACCAGTGTTTCCATTCAAGATTTGGTGGTTTGTAGATCCCAAGAGGGACATGTCTAGAATTTTCATCAACAAGATGCCAAGCATTCACTTGCATGCCTGCTTTGCATTATATAAACCCTAGTCTAATGTAAATAATTGGGAGAAAAGCAATGACAAACCTAGACAGCATCTTAAAAAGCAGAGACATCACCTTGCCAACAAAGGTCCGTATAGTTAAAGCTATGGTTTCCCCAGTAGTGATGTATGGAAGTGAGAGCTGGACCATAATGAAGGCTGATTGCCGAAGAATTGATGCTTTTGAATTATGGTGATGGAGGAGACTCTTGAGAGTCCCATGGACTGCAAGAAGATCAAACCTATCCATTCTGAAGGAAATCAGCCCTGAGTGATCACTGGAAGGACAGATCCTGAAGCTGAGGCTCCAAAACTTTGGCCACCTCATGAGAAGAGAAGACTGCCTTGGGAAAGATGGAGGGCACAAGGAGAAGGGGACAACAGAGGATGAGATGGTTGGACAGTGTTCTCGAAGCTACAAACATGAGTTTGACCAAACTGCGGGAGGCAGTGGAAGACAGGAGTGCCTGGCGTGCTCTGGTCAATGGGGTCACGAAGAGTCTGACACGACTAAACGACTAAACAACAACAGTCTAATGTAAATAAAAAGAAACTCTCTACACAAAAGTAATAGGGTATACTCACTCTGGGAGGTGCCATTACACCAATAATCTAAAACAGAAAGCAAGAAACAATTTTTTCCTCATCATATCAAATTAAATGTTTTCTCCATGAACACTCTCTTCATAGCAGTTGGGGGGGGGCAGAATTGTCAGGAAAGACTGCATTGTCAGGGGTATCTAATGCTCCTGTTCTGTCAGCACAAGGATTTATACTTGCGCAGTGGAACTTTCCCCCCTCTTCTCCTGCTGTGTTCCCTCCATACCCTTCCCAAATCTGTTCTGTTCAAGCCAGCCAACCCGAACCAATTAGGTAGGGGCGGGGGGAGTTGCATTGTGCAGAATCCAAATGGAACCAGAGACTTAGCGTTACTTTGGATACAAGCCATGGTTTTGACACTAAGATCTATGCTATGGGGGTTTTATGTTTGCAATTATTCTGGAGGAGGGACTTAAGGAATTCAGAATCTGCATATTCCATTCAGTTACGCAGGAGAATTTCACTTGGTCGACTTTTAAAAGTGAACCAAAATTGATACTCACCTCCTGGACTAATACTCTGATCAGAATATAACTATATTTTGGATTTTCCACTTCTCCAAATTTGGCAATACTATTCTCACCTTCAAAATAATAATAATCCAAAGTTCATAAAAGCTTAGGATAAAATGGGTAGCATTTCACTAAGTTTTGCTCACAGCAGACACGATGAAATGATTGAACATTATTAACTTGGGTACATTAATCTCAATGAGTCTACTTTGAGTAAAACCTAGTTGAATGCTGCCCAGTGTGTTTGGAAACGTTTGCCCTGGGATAGCACATATCCTGAAATGCTCAGCTTGTGACAAAATAAATAATTAAAAGTGATTTTTCATACCAAAAATCCTGGGTGGAACAGATATATGATCGAAGACATGGGAAACATGCACAGAAGGAGACAAAGCTGTCTACCCCTCATTCTGATGAGACAGTAACCTGATCCACACTTGTGCAGAATGGAATGTAGTTATCCATTACTTTTGCAGTTAAAAAAGATTCCAACAATGGCTCTCAAAATGTACCAAAATATATTTGACCACACCATTGGTCCATCTAGCTCAGCATTGTCCACACTGATTGGCTGCAACTCTCCAGGGTTTCAGACAATGGTCTTTCTCAGCCTGACCTGGAGAAGCCAAGGGTTTGCACCCAAAGCTCTTTCAAAGTGTATGAGAATAAATAGGCCTTATACTTTGTTCCTCTAGAAACTTCAATGCCTATTATCATTATTGCTATAATTCATGTCATTTCTATACTGCTTGATATTTTAAAGGGGGGGGGGAATCTCAAAGTGGTTTGCAACATATTAAAACATCAAATAAAACAATCCAGACTAAAACATTGCCAAAGAAAGCAAGATATAAAGTTCAAGGCAACATTAATAGGAAACTGAAATATTAGCTTAAAGATTTCAGAGCATTACAAATGAGGTCAACTAGAGAATGTATATTTAATGCAGCAAAGTTAACAAAAAAAATCTGTTGTTTTAACCTGTTTTTACATTTATGTATTTTTTAAAATAAAATAATTAATATATGCAGCTGTTTTGTGAGTGTGTGTGTAATTGGTTTGTATATGTTTTTATAGTGTAAATAACATTGAAATGCCTCATGGGAAACAATTAATAAATGAAATAAATAAAAAGCACATTTAAGAAGCATGCTATTTTCATTTCAAATGACCTATGGGTCTCAAGGATGGGGCTTCTAAGGGCTGTTGGGGGGGCGTTATTTAAAAAGTAGAGAACTTGATCTCCAGTGACCAGGAAAAGGTCAGATCTACAAAGCAAGATCAATCAGTCAACATCCAAATGATTCACAATACTCACATTCACAAGGCCACACCCACTGCCAGTAGCCTAAAGTTAAAAGCAATTTGTTAGCCTATCATCATCAACAACAACATCATAATTATCACCATTATTATTATTTTGAATCTATCTGCTGCAAATCTTGCTTTCTTCACATTGGTATGCAAAGTCTGGCACTGGACACTAAGCCCATACATTTGCAAATCAAACCATGCAGTTCATATAGCCTAAGAACATAGGAATAATCCATACCCTTCAAGTGTCCCAATATCCCCAGGGCATTCCAAGAATTACAGAAGTCATCCTGGCTTCTGATTCGATCCTGGAATTTCCCTGGAATCCCATTTTCCCCCTCCAAGCTCATGGAGCTTACAGCCAGTACTGGCACTTGCAGTGGTTCTGCACTCTTGCACAAGTCAGCTAGCTCCCATGAAAGCACAGCACCCAAAGACGTGCATCCCAATTTCCATCAGAGGAATGTCGGAGGGTGTGAGAGTCCTGCTTTCCCAAGCCTGGTGCTCTCCAATTCCCATCAGCCCCCCAGCCAGCAAGGCCAATGGTCGGAGAATGATGGCAGCTGCAGTTCAACTTTCTCTACTTATTAGGCCAAAGCTCTCTCCTGCCATTGCTGCCTAGCATCCGGTAGACAATGGCATCCGTAGTGGCAAAAAGGGTGGCACAGGCAGAGTGTTGTTCCTCACCTGGCTTCCTTATGCTGCATGTCGCTTCTGGTTACAGAGAGGTGGAGGAGGAACGCAAAAGGGAGCTGCACCCACTCAGGGCCGCCTTACCCATAGGCACGAGGGGTGCGGGGCACCTGGGCGCGGGGCTCTCAGGGGTGCCAGGCTGAGAGTCTGGGGCCTGAGAGTTGAGTCTGGGGAAGAGCCCACCCATCGGTCGGAGCGCTGTGGCAGGCTCTTCTGCTGCGGGCAGCTCTGTGCTGTGAGTTTGGGGGTGACCAAGCCAGCGAGACTCTGAGGTGGCCGGCTGGCTCTGGCCTCCTGCGCTCCTGGGATTGAGCAACCTGGGGGGGGGGCGCAGGGCAGATCTTTGCACCCCGGTGCCGCATATGCATAAGACAGCCCTGCACCCACTGCTGCAGCTGTGCCATGCCAAGCTCCCCACAGCCATGTCTCTGCGCAAATGAACCACCCATAAACATTAACTTCATCTTGCTGGGATTCAGCTTCATTTACTAATCCCTCATCCAGTCCATCACTGAGCCCAAGCTTCATCAATAGCACTTCCACTGCCTCATCTGAAGCTAATGAAAAGGAGAATCAGAGTTGGGTGTCACCAGCCTACTGATGCTACCTCTCACCAAACCTCTGGATTATCTAGTTCAGTGGTTTCATGTAGATGTTAGTCAACATGAGAGACAGGATGAAAGCCTACGGTAGCCTAAATACTTCAGGACCAACCAGTAGTTTTCCTGAATGGCTTTCTGGAAACAGACAC